TGGGTGCATCCCTTGCACTTGTGGGTTCGACTCCCACACGAGTGTAGTATATGCATGTATCGTCGTACTCGTGCCGCCCAGCCGGGGGACTACGGCCCCCTCGCGGGCGAACCAGCCCGCGTCTAGTCCGTGTCCGTTCGGAATTTCTGGAAAGTTGCCGTTTTTCGCCGTGTCGTTCGCGGTTTCGGAGCTGCACCTTTTAAGCTAGCTCCGTCGCCGCTTGGGAGCCGCGGTCGCCGGTTCGCGCCCCGCCGTCGTCGCTTTTTTTCGTTTTTTCGCACCGCGCGGCACCGCAACGCACCGCACCGCACCACACCTGGGCCCGCGGAACACGATCCGAAGCATGGCCGTGCGCTGCTTCGACGGGCGCGCTAGCTCCGACGCCGAATGGGAGCCGCGGTCGCTGGTTCGATCCCGGCGCCGGCGCGTCTTTTTGTCCTTTTTTACGTTATGGATCGCTAGCTTCGTCGCCCGGCGCCCGCTTTCTTATATTTTTCGTTCGGGAGCGCTGCCTTCGTCGTCGCGTGGTTCGTTTTTCGCGTCGTCGTCGTTTATTGTTCTTTTCTTTTCGTTCTGGACCGTGCACCGCACCGCGTCGTCCCGGACTGCACCGCTCCACGCCTGGGCCCGCGCAATGCGCCCCCGAGCATCGCTGTGCACCGCTTCGGTGTCCGTGCCGCACCGCACCGCACCGCATTGCACCGCACCGCGCCACACTGCGCCACACTGCGCGGGCAGTGCATCGCACCGCACCACACCTGGACCCGCGCAATGCGCCGTGGTGCATCAGGGCGCACCGCTTGTGGTGTGCGCTAGGTCCAATGTCGAATGGTAGCCGCGGTCGCAGGCTCGACCCGGCACCCTCTCATTTTTTTGTTTTTTTCATTTGGGACCGCGCACCGCGCCGCACCGCACTGCACCGCACCGCACAGCACCACGATTGAACGCGCAAATCGATAAACATTGGCCGCACCGCACTGCGCAATTTGACATGTGCCGACTCGCGCGTTTTAACGCGCAACCCACCACACAACTCGACATGCAATTAAACGTGCAATTCAACGCGCAATTTAACGTGCACTGAACGACGCAATTTGACGCGCACTGAAGTGTGCAGTGCTTGTCCAACGTTGTCCGCGTAGGCTGTACGGCATTTTGTGAAACTGTTTTGTTCGCGGATGTTGGGTCGCTACAATATAATTGCACCGCATATATACGCATCCGGTTTACTTATTTTCATATACGGTACCGTGGCTGAGCGGTTATTTTAAATCTGGCGGTTGTAAACTAGTCGCGCCGCGAACATAAGCTGCGCGGTATTTCGCGAAGCTGGCCTCTTTACGTGCATCGGCTCGCTAACCGATTTTCGCCAGACGACAACATCTCGGCACATCAACGGTTGTTCATCGCCATCGATGGCTATTCATCGCCATCCTTGTCTGCACGTCCTACACGATACAAGGTCAGTCCACGTTGCAAAGCAGTAGCAACGAATAGAAACGACGAATAGCAGTGAGTAGAAACTATGCTATAGCAAGAATAGCAAGGAATAGAAACGCAACGCGCACCGAAGTGCGATGCGCAACACAACCTGACCCGCGGGACGGTTTGCGCGGTCGGTCGCGTTCGCTGTCGTGTACCGTGTTTTTTTTTATTATTTTGTTTGGGGCCGCGCACTGCACCGTGTGGGTCATGTCTCGGCTCGTCGTGCTTTGTCGTGCTATGTCATTGTGCTAGCTCCATCACGGTATGGGAGCCGCGGTCGCCGGCTCGATCCCGGCGCCTATGCGTATTTTCCTTTTTTTTGTTCGGGAGCGCGCACCGCACCGTACCGCACTGCACTGCAGCTGGGGTCGCGCAACGCGCCCCTGAGCATCGGCGCAGACCGCTTCGTTGCGCACGCTAGCTCCATCACCGCGTGGGAGCCTCGGTCGCAGGCTCGATCCGGCGCCTGCACATTTTTATCTATTTTTTCGTTCGGGAGCGCGCACCGCACCGTACCGCACAGCACCGCAGCTGGGATTGCGCAACACGCTCCGGAGCATCGGAGTGTACCAGGTACATATCTAATGTATGTTTAGCTCTTCGTCAGGAAAATCGCTGTCTTCGATTTGATTTGAAGCACGCAATGATTTGATTTGAAGCACGCAATTCAACACGCACCGAAATGTGCAACCAAACGTGCACTGGTGCACGCAATTCAATGCACCGTGCAATGTGCAGTTCAAGGAAAGCCGTACACGCAATCCAACACACAGTACAACGCGCAATTACATGTCTTAAGCGTGTACGGCATTCCTTCCGTGGTCGAAGGTCCTTGTGTCAGGTGGTGGTGCTGGTGCCGTGCACCAGTTTTCAACGGTAACGGTACCACCTTACCCTACCTTACCGGCATAGCATAGCATAGCATAGCTATGCTATGTCCTATGCCGTACATGCTATGCTATGCTATGCTACGCTACGCTATGCCATGCTGCACTACGCTATGCTATGCCGTACACGCTACGCTATGCTGTGCCGTACGCGCTATGCTATGCCGTACACGCTATGCTATGCCGTACGCGCTATCGTACACGCTAAGCCATACGCGCCGTACGCGCCGTGCGCGCTATGCCGTACGCGCCGTACGCGTTGTGCCGTATGCGCCATACGCTGTACGCGCCATACACCGTACACTGTACGTGCCATGCCGTACGCGCCATGCGCCGTACGCCGTACGCGCTATGCCGTACGCGTGTTCTACTTTGCGCGTGGAACTCTCCGCATTAAAACTTACAACATGACCGCGTGTAGCATCTATTCTGCCATATGCGCCGTACGCGACATGCCGTAGGCGCCGTACGCGCTGTGCCGTACGCACCATACGCCGTACGCGCTATACGCCATACGCCGTACGCGCCATACGCCATACACCGTACGCGCCATACGCCATGCGCCGTACGCGCCATACGCCGTACACCGTACGCGCCATACGCCGTACACCGTACACGCTATGCCGTACGCGTGTTCTACTTCGCGTGTGGAACTCTCCGCATTAAAACTTACAACATGACCACGTGTAGCATGACCGCGCCGTACGCGCCGTACGCGCTATGCCGTACACGCTATGCCGTACATGCTACGCTATGCCGTACACGATATGCTATGCTA